TATGAAAGCTATGGATCAAAGTGTACAATTTCATTGAAAGACTTGTAAAACCTACACAAATGGAATTATTTATTAACGAAGAAAAAACACCTCTAATAATTTGAATATAGGTAATCGTTCATAATATTCGAAAGAATATGTTGAAGCAATGAATGTTACACCGTGAATGCAATTGCTGTTTATAATTGATATAATATTTTCAACATTTACGAGTAAATTAGAATTTGCGTAAAAATTTATTCGTTCACTTTTAACATATGTTTGTTAATAAAAATGATTGTTAATAAAAGTTTTTTTTTTTTTTTTCAATACAATTGCCATTTCAATAATTGTATCAATGATTTTCTTATTATCACTAGTCACTGGCTTTTTTCCCGTCATATTATCCCTAAGTGATTAAAATGATAAGGCGAACAATTAATATTATATAAGCTTATATAGAAAATATTGAATGCAGCATACATCTAAGCAGATAACGGAAGGACGAATGATAAAAATATATAGTTAAACAATAATAGCGATAATAATTTTTTGTGAATTAAAATGTCAAAAAGTCGTATCTAAATAGTTTGTCGTATCTATAGATCATAAAAGAAATGTATAAAGTTTGAAATAACGTTTGATAGATATTCAACTAATTACATTGGGAATGTAATTTAATTTCAAGTGTTTTTAATCAACATAATGAACTTGGCACGCCCAATAGAAAAAGAAAAGCGAAACGTACGTAATTCAGATGAAGATTATTTTTTGGATATAATAATGTTAAGGAAAAAAAAAATCATAATATTTCAAATATTTCAAATTCTCATGCCATGTGATCGTACGAAGATTATGCTAATGCTATAAGTGACCTTGATATAATTAAATTTCAATTTTAATAATTAATTAATCGATCCGTTAATTTTCTAATCTCAATTGTTGCAAAAATGCCTGATTTCAATAAATTGAAGCTTACAGCGGAAGTATATTGGAAGCAGCGTAAAAGATAATAAATGCTTTTCACTTCTCTGAAATTATTAATAAACTACATTCTGTACCCCGTCGCTAATAATTTATGCATCGCTACGCTCATTATGAATATAAATGTCGTGCGATATTTGTTTGTCAGTGCTTCCCGTGCGCATAGAAATACCTAAGAATTTATGATGGCATCGAATCTATAAAGTGATCCATTACGATGGCAAAAGATTCATCAGCAACAGCAAAAATTCTCTACGATGCAAGAGCCAAGAAATAAAGGCTGGAAACTATTTCGCGCGTGAGCGATCATTTCATCTAGGCGCCACGAATTCACGACAATATCCTTTCTTAGAGCAATAATAATTGGCTCGTAATCTGTGTCGCGTAGGTAGCTCGAGCAAGCTAATTGAATTTCCGAATTCCCATAAATCATATTTGACACGTCACGAAGAAACGGAATGAAAGTAGTAGCAACATTTGCTCGTATCGCGCATAATGTATTCGTCCCCGTAACTGATCACCCGAGCTTCCTTCGCCATGTCGTCGTCCCCGTCCACGTCGTCCTCCGTCGTTGCATACACCGTTGACCGATTCGGACCACCGGACCGGGTTTCTCTTTTTAGGAAGCCACCAAAACGACCACTACACCACTTTGCCCCAGAGTTTTAACATATGCGCGAAGATAGAGCGATACTGATATTAAGGCCAGTTCGGTAGCTTGTTTTCACCACTTACTTTTCTTTTTACTTTCGTCACCATTCCGCAGATGATCCTTTCGGTAGCTCGTCCTGATATCGAGCGTCATGAGAGAAAAAGTCGACATTAATACAAACTTGAAATACATCTTCGTAGACATTCCTTGAGATTCGATATGTGGATTTCGTGCGATTTCGTATTGAATGACAAGGAACAGGAAATTCTTCTCCAATGATGTATTCTTTAGAGTATCATACACTTTTTTCTTCTTATAACTTTTAATTTTAATGTATACGAGGTGTTGAGTATTCACGTTGTGCGTCCTGTATATTTTTAATTTAAATTTTTAATTTACCCTTCGACATACACCTTGAGCGAGAGATTCGTTCTGTTCGCTCGTTCCTTTTAATCAGAAATTGATAATGAAGTAAATAATATGGTTATGGATGTTGCTACAACGCGAGCTACAATACATTTTCATTAATTAAGGAATAGCGAGGAATTGACTGCGCAGCCAATGACGGATGACCTATGCAAATATTTACCAATCGTAAAATATTACATAACAAATTTGATACATCGGACAATGTATTCATAATAATGCTGAATTTAAAGGAAAAATCTGCATTCTCTGGTTCCCGCAAATACAAAATAACAAAAAGAAAAGGAAAATTAAGTAATGTACTGCTAAATATGTAAACTATGCAATCATTCAATAAACATTCTATAAAGCAATGATGTGTTATGCTTATTAATTAATCCTTAACATTATGCTGAAATATTTCTAAGACAATGACTATTAAATCGAACATAATTAAAAAATTTGCAATAATTAAATAATAAACGAATGATAATAAAACATTTCTTATATAATAAACTTCGCCTCATTAAACTCATGCTTCTGCAACGAATTAATAAAGACGACAGATACATAAAATAATGGGAATAGTTTTAAATGTTAACGTACATCGTGAGAATAAAAAGAATCTTTTGAAATTATGATAAAAATAGCTTCGCTCATAGTCATCATCATTCATTTCTTTAATCTCATATACAAACAAATGCTATGTAAATCAGCTGCTGTGCAAGTTTCGCCTGCACTTTAAGAAAAAGATTTTTAATTGCCAAGAGATTATTTTAATCAAATTGTGTAAAAATTAATATCTCTTTATTTTATTATTATTTTATTTCTTGACTAAATTATAATGAAAATTCCCATACTTCGTGCTTTCGGACTTTTGTACTTTGATAAATTCCTGTAGGCGCAGCGCTTGATTAAATCAATGATTAATTCATTTATCATAAATCTAAGCCGTGAATTCATGGAATATTATAGAACTATTGCTTGCATTTTATAATTCAATGTTTACCAATTCATACGAATAAATAAACAAATTTAATAAATGTAATTATTGTATGCTTATATTTCATTAACATAAAGCAATAGTGGATTTAATTTTTCGTGTTATCATCCTCTGCATAAAACATTGATTTTTATGTATACACGAAGCATAAACGTTATTTAATTTTAATTTACAGTAATTCTAACGAATTATTAATTATGTTGATTGTTAGTAGTATCGTTGTCGATAATGATAATATTTTTGCTTTTTATAAATGAGATAGTGATAATTAGATTTGCTAGAATTTTCATTCTTACTTTGTCAATATAATCCACAGTTGAGAATTTATGAATGAAGTTTATATCTATTTGCCAGCGATATCTTAATGCCAAGTATAACGCAAAGCTGCTGCAACTTTATTTTTTGACATTCGTCAGTTCATTAGCGGCTACCGATATCATGCAAAATCAACTTGCTTATTTGAAATTAAAATTTTCTACAATCATTATTTTAATATTTAACGACTGCTTCCTATTTGACGTTATCACAATTTGTAAATTATGAGCATTTTTCCATGAATATTTAAATTCTTAATTTTACGATGAGATCGTTAAACTATGAATTACAAGCTACCATTAAATATAACTATTTAACGGATAAAAATTATTAACTTAATCTTAAAAATGTTACGTATGATACGGGGTATCACAATACAGGAAATTATGAAAAATTATCTTTGGATATTTTTTAATGATAAGCTGATATAACTAGTTGCATTGGCTTTACATAATGACTAACGCAATATACATAATAAATAATTTTACATATTTATATTGTGTTTTCATAATAAACATTGCACAATATAAAATTTGATTTGTATAATTCATAAATATATAATATAAGTGATAATTCATTTCAAAATGATGTTTTTTTTTTTTTTTTTAATATATATTTCTTTAAGTATTTACTTTTTCTGTAAGTTAAAATGTAAAATTATTTAAACTTTAAGTTTTCATGTAAAACGAATACTTATATTTTGCATATAAATAAAAATATTATTCAATTATTTTCTTTATTTTTTTCAAATTATTTCGTTATTTATTTTTTAATTTCTTATTTTTATTCAGATAATATTCAATAAAAATATTAGATTAGGGTAGGTTAGATTAGATAAGGTAAACGTAGTCAATATTATTTTATAAACATAATCCCCTTTAAACAAAATTCACCCATATTATATTGTTTCTGCAAAAATTCATATATATATATGTAATTTTTAGTTTAATAATTTCAAACTATTCGTATGATACATGTAGATAAAGCTGCTTAAAGACATATTATTAAATGAAATAAGATATTTATTATACAAAGCCTAAATTCAATAGTCTACTAATGAAAATCCGCAAAATGTGTATTTCTTTGTTTTTGCTTTGATTGCTCTTTCATTGGGCTCATCATATCGTTCAATTTAACTGTGACGATACAGAAATTTTTCTACTCGGATATAGATTTCAAGCATAATTCAGACGTACATTTGATTGATTAATCGACTGAAAAAGTATGTCATAGGCCGTTAAATTAAATTAAACCGCCATTAAATTTAGGAAAAAGTCAAATCCACGGGGCAAGTATAAGTTGGTGGACAAGTATCCTATACAAATTCGTTCGGCTTGAGCAATAATGAGAAAAAGTGCATTTCGTATATGTAGATAGGAACCGTTACTTGCTAAAGTCCAAAGGCCAAGTGCCATAAGCCATTAAAGAGTCACGAAAGGCACGTCAACTCTCGCTTCACGTGCACTCGAAGATCGTAGAACGACTTTAGCGGAATAGCCGCGACTAGCAGTATTTACGGTACGCGAGCCTCTCCGCCCACGCTCGTAAGCAAAATTAACCGTCGAATTGCGCCGAGTCGCCGAAGCGAAAAATTGCTGCACGCCGGCTAAGTATTGCGAGGAGCACGAAACTCATTGCGCACCCTCGTCTTATCTGTTTCAGCGAACGGCTCGTACCAGCCGGGCATGGAACCGAAGCGCCAGCGCACCGCGTACACGAGGCACCAGATCCTCGAGCTCGAGAAGGAATTCCACTACAACCGCTACCTGTCGCGCCGGCGGCGCATCGAGATCGCGCACACGCTCGTTCTGACCGAGCGCCAGATCAAGATCTGGTTCCAGAACCGGCGCATGAAGTGGAAGAAGGATAACAAGTTGCCCAATACGAAGAACGTAAGACGGAAAAACTCGAGTGGCCAATCGCAGCCGGCCAAGAGCGGCAAGGCTACCGCGAGGTCTACCGCCAAGAACCCCAACAGCAGCAGCAGCAGCAGCAGCCAGCGGAAGAACAACAACAACTCGCCCCAGAGCTGCCTCGAGAGCAGCCTCGATGGGAGCGTGAACGGAGGCATGTCGGGCTTGGGGGAGGTCCACGACGTGAAGCCTCCGCCGGGCGACGGCTTCCCTGGCATCGGAGCAGCCGGTCACCCGGGCTTCCAGGCCCATCTCGGCCAGCATCCCCTCGCCCATCTCCAGGCACAGCTGAGCCACTGCCAAATCGGCGGCCTCATGGACCCGGTCCACATGGGCTCGGGCAGCATAAGTCCCCTCGCGCCGGCGAGCACGAGCTCGCCCGGGGTCACGGCGAGCGTCGCCTCGGCGGCCATAAAGTCCGACTACGGCCTCATGGCCCTGTAACACACGGGGCCCGAGGGACTGCGGGACGACGGGGCGGGCGGTCCTCTTGCCTTCCCCATGATCCGCGCCCGGACCGACGTACTCGGGGACGGGCTGTTCTCGTAATAGCTACCGCGGGACGGCGACGTCAGCCGGGCTTTTGAGATGAGCGTTACGTGTCGCGGAATAAATGCATTAGTTATGTCGTAACGGCTTATCGGCCAAATGTTTCTTCGGGGCTTAAGCGAGTCCCGCGTTAAACATCAGCCGCGCCGAGACGATTAATCAAAAAGTATCTCGCCGCTCGGTCTTTATTCATTAAGAAACTATTTTCTCCAAAGTAGCTAATAAATCATAAACAATGTTTCAAGCCATTCCAATTCTTTTAATCCTGCGAATACAGTTTTAGATCGAATTTACGGCGGCTCCTCCTCGCGCTCGCCACGGTTCTAAGTTTCCAGCCAACGACCCGAGCATCCCTTCATTATTATTATTCCCTTGTTGTTATTAATATTATCATCATCACCCCATCGTCATCTTCATAAGCATTATTATTATTATTATTACTACTACTACTACTACTGCTACTACTACTACTACTACTACTACTACTACCGCTGCTATTACCACTGCTACTACTACTACTACTACTGCTACTGCTACTACTGCTACTACTACTACTACTTCTACTACTACTGCTACTGCTACTACTATCATCATCATCATCATCATCATCATCATCATCATCATCATCATCATCATCATCATCATCATCATCATCATCATCATCATCATCATCATCATCATCATCATCATCATCATCATCATCATCATCATCATCATCATCATCATCATCATCATCATCATCATCATCATCATCATCATCATCATCATCATCATCATCATCATCATCATCATCATCATCATCATCATCATCATCATCATCATCATCATCATCATCATCATCATCATCATCATCATCATCATCATCATCATCATCATCATCATCATCATCATCATCATCATCATCATCATCATCATCATCATCATCATCATCATCATCATCATCATCATCATCATCATCATCATCATCATCATCATCATCATCATCATCATCATCATCATCATCATCATCATCATCATCATCATCATCATCATCATCATCATCATCATCATCATCATCATCATCATCATCATCATCATCATCATCATCATCATCATCATCATCATCATCATCATCATCATCATCATCATTATTATTATTATTATTCTTAATTACTATCATTAATTATTATTAATTATTAATATTGTTATTATCGTCGTCGTCATCAATGCCATTACTATTCATCGATTGATAAGATTACGAAACAATTGGCATAAAACAAAAAAGTGCTACGGTCTCTGTTATTCTACTCACCAATTAATTAACCCTTCGTGATTCCCAAAGTTTCATACTTCTTTAAAATCTAGAATAAGCCGGCGAAGATACGCGTCATTGACGAATCATCGTATTCATTTGATAAAGTTTATTGTTGAAATAATAATTTGGCGCACGATATGCGTAGATATGCGCTTTTAGAGAGCACAGTTCTTATTCATTTATTCTGCCCTTGAGGAAAACAAGACAATGTATTAGAGAAAAATTCTGCGTAGTAAGTTATAAAGGCGCAAAAATGCAAAAATGCAAAAACTTACTATATCAAATGATAGCACACGATGACAAAAATAACAATATGAAAAAGTGTCTATTATTTCGTAATCTCGTTTCTATAGATCAATAATATTAGTATAAAAACTTTTAGTTTATGAGTATTCTACAGCCGAGGATTCATGTTGGAAATAAAAAATCTTTTACATAATAATGGTATGAATTAATAATTAATAAATATATAAATTTAACGTGGAAAGATAAAGTGCGTGCAGTCATTGAATGAAGGATAATGAATTTGAACTGTAGCAACGGCTAACTTTTATTACGATTAGCTAAATCTAATGTAATTTGTAAAATGAGTAATATTTTTTGATATATTCAATCAATATTACGTAAATTAAGTGAATACTGAATTTAATAATCGTGGAATCCTCTTGTTTCTTATAATTAATTACTCGTTGACGATTATGCGTATTTGATTTCGAAAATAAAATTGTAATGTAACTTTCGACATGTATTGATGGAAATACTAATAGATAATAATTGTCCGACAAAGAGTATGTGATTTATCATTAAAAATAAATCTTTTTCAAGCATGTATAAGACATTTTCCGTATGAGGTATAACTAATTGTATTAAATCAAAAGGTATTTTTTCCTTTCTACTTCAGATTCGATTAAATTCAAAGATATATTTAACCTCTTTCATTCGTTATAGATACTTTCACAAGATAATAAATTAAAAAACTAAATGGTACGAATAAATAAAAATTATTCATTTCAAAATAATGTTCATATCCGTGTTACGAATTTTTTTTTTCTTTTTCTTTTCTTTTTAATATCCTTATTTCTCTTATATGATGGTGAAGTAACCCAGTGACGCAACTGGTTATGAGGAATTTACCAGTTAATAATCGTTAATATGTGCCATTTGTCTCGTATTGGACGGAAAATCAAAAATCAAAAAAAAAAAAAAAAAAAAAAAAAAAAAAAAAAAAAAAAAAGAATAATAATAATAAAAATAGGGGATGGAGAGATGGGAGGGATTAAAGAAATGAAGAAAAGAAAGAAAGAAAGAAAGAAAACGTATAAAGAAAAAAAAATGATGCATTTTGCTTGACATTTATTTTCTAGCGGGACAATGAAAAAATGAAAAATGAAAGTTATATATATATATATATATATATATATATATTTTTTTTTTTAACTTTTTTTTTCTTTTTAAATATATATTTATATTTGTTTAATTCGAGATAATACTCCGTAAAGATTAAGTCCTTGAAAGCACTATGGAGTTATGTACATAATAAAATAATTATAATAATAACAATAATAATAATAATAGGAAATGGTGTGTGTATATAATTGTAAAGAAATCGTTAATGCGGTCGAATGAAAATGCTCGCTCATTACGACTCGCCCAAGTGTTTAAAATAAAATACACAATATTGTATACAAGCGGTTCTCTTTTCTATTTACGTAAGCAGAGCCACGAGCGAATAATGTGACGACTGAGCGATAGTCCATGGGAAATTGTAAAGAAAAATCGCAGTGGCACCGTTTATGAACTATGTTTTAAAATATAAGTAATGAGTAAAATGCGTATTAAATGGAATACCCAATCAATGAAAATTGACGTAAGCTTCGTTACGCTGTTGTGTTCAAAAACGTATATCTTACATAGACTATTCATATACTATATATTTCTAAATATAAATTTGAGGTGGCCGTAATTTTCATGCGTATTTGTTTAGTTTAATCGACCTTAATTATTAATATGTAATTCGCTTATTACAAACGTAAGGGCCATTTTTTCTTTTTTTTCGACTTTGTTTTTTTTTTTTTTTTTCCTTTATACTTACAACTCTCGTATAAAACTATTGATAGTTTTCCTAAATTAATCAACACTTTTTTTTTCACTTTCGCGTGGGTAGACGATCACAGTAACAACTCATTCTGATCTCAGCATTTTGTAATTATTTTTATTCAGCGTTCAAAATTAAACTACACCGCATACAAACCCCATGTACATACATTTATGAGATGTAGTAGTGTCTATATTTTTAATGCAAACGAAAAAGATTATTAGGAGTATGGAAGACCAATACCGTGGATTATGACTCAATACGTGACACAACACCCGTGAAAATAAAAATACAAAAGAAAAAGAAAAATAAAAAAAACAAAACAAAAAAAAAACAAAAAAAAACTGAGCTACTATTTGTGTAAGCGAGTAGAAATCAAACGATTTATGCACAGAGTCGCTGTGACGATATACCAAAACAATATTAATTATACTGTATGAAAGTAGCATATAAGCCGAACGAAAATGTTAATTAATAAAGACACGTAATTCTGAAATTGTCGTAAAACGGTCAGACAATGGACGAGATTAGCGTTTTATCAAGTTTGATAGATCCGTAGCCCGGATTATTCAAGCGCTATTCTCACTCCTCGTTGTTCGACAATAACATTAACTTTAGGCGATTAACAAAAAGTTGTGTACGAGTAAACAAGCCGTCGTATAAGTGTGACATTGTGTACTCTTTTCTGTGTATATAATACCTTGTATAGTACCGACGACGATTCATAATTATTGGCACGATAATGCTTATGTTTATATCGATGAAACCGATAAATACATCACGAAATAAATAAAGAAAGAAAAAAACATATTATTCTGTTGTTTAATTTCACTCTCACACAGCGATGTACGATCAACTGTTTCCCATTATTTTAAATAATGAATTTTTTACGTTTACTTTGGCCGTTGCACGATAAAGCTACACGCGATTTGCTTCCTCACTGCATCGTGCAGCCCAACTCTCGAGATCAATATTCTTGCGTACAAAGGGGGATCGCTTATCGAGATTCGCGTAGAAAGAAAAAAGCCAATGGGAACATAAAGGGAAAAGAAGATGACGAGGCAACAAAAAAGGCGATCGTCTACTGCCCCTCTCAGCTCTTCCTTTTTTACTCGTTATTTTTATTCCAAAGTTTCTGGCATTTACTCTTATTATTCGTAAATTTCTTAATCGTACATCTTGTTCTTTTTTTGTTTGGTTTTTAGTTCCTTTCTGTTGCTTTTTTTAATTTTTTATTTTTTTCTTCCTTTTCTCTCTCTCTCTCTCTCTCTCTCTCTCTCTCTCTCTCTCTCTCTCTCTCTGTCATTCTCTCTCATTCTCAAGCTCTTTATTATCCAAGACCCGTAACCAGCAAAACAGCGCACAAACGTATTATTACCGATTAATTAAGGAAGTTGGTCCCAAAATGAGATAGAGATAGAGATAGAGAGATAGAGAGATAGAGAGATGGAGAGAGAGAGAGAGCGATAGAGAAAGAGAGAGAGAGAGAGAGAGAGAGAGAGAGATAGCTCGAACTTCTTTGGCGAATATGCGAATAAGAACGCAAACAATTCACTCGGTACGTTAGCGTGGGGTGTAACGTTCACGAGGTCATAGTTACACACAGATTACAAAAAAAAAAAAAAATTCAGCAGCGTATTTGCTTTTGACATTAATCTCGTTGATGAGCTTAATAACGGCAAGCTCTGACAGCCGATGGAGAGGTGAAACAGCTTTCGCGGTCAGAAGATCACAAGCTCGGGGGCTCATCGATTGATGAGATGGGCTTTTAATGCCCGAGTTGGTGCTAGTCTGGCATGAAGGATGCAGGACGCGCAGGAAGACGATCGGCGAAATGGTCGAGTGGAGCGAGTCATCGGTCGTCGGCCGGTAGCGCGCGAACCGGCCCAGGATAATAAAGGGAAGAAGGAGGCGCCCCCGAAGGGAGGCATCTGTCCAGGCATTAGCACGAAGCCAACTCACGCAGCTGCAGTCGCTATTGTATCCAGCGATCGCCCGTGACGACGCTTGCGCGAGGTGTGCACGATACCCCCGCTCGCTTTCTCCCGCAGGAGGGGTGGCTCCGAGAGACGAATGGGAGACGCCCGTAGAGCGGCTTTGCCACCGCCCATGAAACTAGAAAAGCCGGCGAGCGAGCGAGTGAGAGCGCAAAAGAGACAGACAGACAGACAGGCAGACAGACAGAGAGAGAGAGAGAGAGAGAGAGAGAGAGAGAGAGAGAGAGAGAGTAGACGAGTGAAAGGTTGCGATCGGTCAGAATACCAGGCTTGGGTCAAGCTCTCGACCGTCGGTCTCGGGGCTTCGTCGTCGGAAAATGGAGAATATCGGGGGGACCGTGGGGCAAAGACTTTTCGCTATTGTTTCATTGAATCTTACGCACACGAGACGTC